AGCATAGTTCTATTAGGTGTAATTTTGATATGTTAAATATGCACTCTATCTGCAACTGTCCATGATAGTTAAAACATTCAATACATAGCAAAGACCTGCTTTTTGTTTTCAATGGGAAATCAAGCATGAATTAAAGAGACATGATATGTGTCAAGGTGATACCATGTCGACTTGTGATTGTCAACTTGACTCCATCTGGAATTAAGTAAAACTCAAGCATCAGGCTATACCTGTCAGGAATTGTCTCTTAGATGACAATTTTAAATAGGGAGAGACACATTTACTCTGGATCTTTTGAGGCAGGAAGATCCACCTTTAATCAGGCCACACTTTCTGCTGGCAGCCTATAGAAAGGACATGGAAGAAGGAAGTTTGCTCTCGCTGTTCCTTCACTGGCATCGGAGACTGTCCCCTCAGGATCCCAGCATATGGCGAAGACCACGTGAGACATCTAGTGCTGTGGACTGAACAAGTTCTGTATTCTTGGACCTTTCGTTGGTAGACAGCCACTAATTGGATCACAGCTCTAAAGCCATTCTAATAAACCCTCTTTCTTTATGCATAAATTCATTGTATAACCTTTGTTCCTCTACAGAACCCCAACACATGAATGGCCCATTTACTTCACATGTCCAATGATGATGGGTATTTATGGGGCCCAATTCATAACCCAAGATAATTTAGTTCTATAAGGCAATGTTCCACTCTGCATCATCATGAGGCTTTCATCAGCGAGCCATGTAGACTCTACACTGCAGTGGTGGCTTTTCTGTGACTGCATCACTTCTCACTAGCATCTCATGGATAGAATGTGAGCAGCCAACAGGGAGACATCACAGGCTTGAGTAATGAAACTACAGATTGACCTTGCCCTCCCACCCTCTGCTTTTTGTTCAGGGTTGCTTTAGGAAACAGACTCTTGCCATGCAGTGAAGGGTTAGGGTTTGAATGTGGAATGTCCCCAGAGGCTCAGGGGTTTGAAATCTTGTCCTCATGTTGGGGACACTGCTTTGGGAAACCAATGATTAACTTCACTAAAGCTGTGAGATAGAGGGGTTTAACTGGCTGAGCTCTGACCAACATTTCTATTTCCTGATTCCTCAGGTGGGACACGGCATCCTCCCTGGAGCCTTAGATTGAAACTTGGCCAGCTACCCTGTCCTGCCAAGAACTCAAGAGCCGAAATTGACCCATCTACACCGAAATTGCTTCTGTTGGGTGTTGTGACCCAGCAACAAGGAAAACAACTAACATACGCAGGCTGCGCTCACACTCCTGTCTCCCAGTCTCACCCTCTCTAGAGCTGGGAATTCATGTGTGCACAGCATCATCTCCTGCCATTCTGTCCCAGGCCCTTCCCAAACCCTCCCCACCTGACCTCTCCTCCCCTCTCCCCTCACTCCCTCCTCTCCTCTCCTGATTCCCCCTCCTCCTTCTTCCTCTTCTGATTCTCCTCCCCTCCCCCCCTTCTCCCTACCTCTCTTGATCCCCTCTCAGAAGTCAAGTGTGAGCAACCATTTGAACAGGTCCAGAGAGATTTCCCATCATAAGCCATGAGAGGGCTGGCATTATCTCAGTGGTAGGGAGATTGCCCAGAAAACACAAAACCTGGTGTTCAGTCCACAGCACCAGGGGAAAAGGAAAAAGGAAAGGAAAAGAATTTGGTCATGAGAATGAATTGGACATGAAACCTCCAGCACCTGTCAGGTCTTCAGTGTGGCTCATGAGAGGCCCTGAGGAAGAAGCACCCAGCCTGGCTCCTCATGGTGCCTGACCCTGTGGGAGATTCCATGTTTATTGTTCCAAGCTGCGCATTTGGGGACAATTTATTCTCCATCAGCAGGTGAGTGAGAAGAGACCAGTCTCCCTCTTAGTCCTCAGGACCAAGGGAGAGAGCAAGGACAGACAGGTCACAGACAACATGCAGGGTCAGACTGAAAGGACTAAGGTGAGTCCTTCATGCTCTGACTCCATCTCGTGTTTGCTCACACAGTTCTCAGCCATCTCTGTTCCCCGACACCAGTCATGTCACCTTCACACGTAGCTGAGATTTCCATGGACATGTCCTTGGTGCAGAGAATCAACCAGAGTAAGTAAAGGAAACCACAATAACTAAAGAAGCTATAACTCGAAATTGTTTGAGTTGCTATGATGTGCCAGAGAAGAACATTTCAACTTAATGTGACCCCCATCTAAGTAGTATGTAAATGATGGTCTTTGTGGCTTTTGTCTTTAAGCATGCTGTCCCCTGAGCTTGGGTAGCTACAGATTTTTGGAAGCATGAGCTCTCTATTGGTCTGACCATTAATAAATGTACTTTAAACATTAATTGGCTTAATAGCATTGCTGTCATTAACTATCTCATGTGGATCATTTCAACACTATAGCAGTGTCACGGTGGATTCTTCCCTAGGCAGGAGTTGCCCTTCCTGCTCTTCTCTCTCTCCACAGACACCATGATGGCCACCACTGTTGCTCTGTCCTTCATGCATGAGGTCCTGCTGCATCCTCAGCAGCACCCGATGAGCTGGGCTCTGTTGTTGCCTGCCGACTGTGCAGCCTCCCAGGGCCAGACAGTACTTAATGCTGAGCCACTCCAGGAGTGAGGTCAGACCAGCTGGATGTTGTCCATCTCTATCAACACAGGCTTGGTCCCTGCTGACCCACACCCATCCTGGTTGTGAGGGCACACTCATGTAACAGATAAAAAAGGGCACAGCCTTCCTGGTAGTGTGAAGGATGCCTCTGTTATGCAATTGTTTGAGTTCATCCGAATTCCAGGTGTAGATGCTTGACCTCTAGACACTGCCTCCCAACCTGGTGCTTGTCTCCTCTCTCTAACAGTACTGGGGACCCAAAACTTCACACATATGAGCCTAGACAGCCTTCCCCCTCTATGGAAGTTCCCTAGTCCTCCTCTCTTTCTCCTTGAGCAGTTACTTTATGTGATTCTGTGTATTTGTGAATGTGTATGTGTGCATCTATGTGCACATCCATACGCATGTCAGAGGTCAACCCTAACCTACCCATGCTGACTTTAATAAAGGGTCTCCTTATAGGCCTGGGAGTCACTGAATTGCTAGGGCGGCTAACCAGGGAATCCCATAGATCCACTTGAACAGAATTGGGATCAAATTCATGTGAGTACACTTGGCCTTTTTAAATTTTGTTTCAGCCCATAAATCTGTCTTGTGCATTTGATGGGGTTTGTGGGGAACACATTACCCACCTTGCCATGTCTCCAACCCCAATTCTGTCCTTAGTGTCTTTAGATGCACAAACCGTGACTTATCTCAGGCCCCAAGCTAAGAAGCCAACAGACCCTGGCCGGAATTCTATGAAACTCTGATTAAAACCTAAACTTTGCTTCCCTCAGTGGGTTTTCTTGGATGTGCTGTCCCAGTGACAAAGGGCTAACTGACGGAGTCTTCTATCTACTTTTGATTCTGTTGCCCTCAGCAACATCAGAAAACAGAGGGAGTCAGCTGGGCGGCAGATCAACATCCTCTCAGAAGGCTCTGGAGTTGACTGTGATCTGCAGATCATGCAGTTCATGGTGGCTGCCATGTGGGGACCCTCACATGGGTGGGGATGCCATTAGATACTTTGTCCTGGCCTTAATATAGGATACAGGTTTTTGGGATCACTACTGTAAACATGCCTCTTCCCCCCTCCACACTTTGCTGCCTCTATTGTCCTGTGAGTTCTTCCCTGCAATGGGGTCATCACTAGGGGAACATTTGGTGGTCAAGTCCTGAGAAAACCCTCATAGAATGGGGGAGAGTTGACCCCTGATATCTGTGTCCTAGTCTCCCATAGGAGGCAACTCAGACATCTCCCACAACTTCCAGACACAGCTCACCGGCAGCATGAGATGTTTCCATCACAGGCTCCTTAGATACCTGAGCTAAAACTGAGAAGGATGGAGAGATGCAGCTGAGGCGTGTCAGGGCTCATGGAGTGCATGAGGTGGCCACCTCAGGGCCTCGAATGACTGTTGGACAACTTTGTAATTGTTAGGACATGACAGATTTTGACACACAGATGCCTTCTCATCCCTTCATAGTCCTCATGCAGTGGTACCCCAAATGCTCACTGGAGAAGGAAATTCTGTGTGTGACCCCTCTCAGCAACCATATGTCAGTGTGTTCTTAGGAGCCTTGAGACTCAAGTAAGCACCATTCTGAATGTACAACTTTCCCTCTCCATGCAGCCCTCTGGCTGAGATTCTGGGCTCACAGAACGCCAACCCATTCACAGTGTCCTCCTCGAGTCTTCCACCCAGGCACTAAATCAGCTGATCCTTGAGCTGAATTCTCCTCGCAGATGTGGTCTGATGTTCTCTGAAACTGCCATACTGTAATCCCCAGATCTGCTTAGAGCAGTTCCCTGTCTTATAGAAACCCAGAGTTCCCAGGGTCCCAAGACAGGAATGATGGTTCACCCATCCAGAGCTCCTTGTCTTTCCCAGTCATTTGAGAATCCTTATAGGGCCAGGCATTTTGCATTTCAATGGCTGTTTGCCTTTTTCTAAACCTATCACAATTCTTAGAAATGCCTCCTTTGTTCTTCACCCTGCCCAAAGCATCCTGTCTTGTCATTTGACCACCTTTTCATCTTCCTCTGACCTCAGCACAGAGGTCATATGATCCTTAGGCATGTGTGGGTGCTCTCTGTGAAGCATCCAGGGCTTTGTTTTATGACCTACCTGTCACCACTATGGTGAGGCCTCAAACACAGAACCCTGGCTTGGTGTAGATTGTTTCTTCTGGCATCAGGATACTTGGAAGAAAATAGTCATAATGCCTTCTGTGAGGTCATTGGAAAATGATTAAGTTTCTGTGTACCTCAGTTTCCTCACCCATGAGAGGGAATGATAATACCATAAGGTGAGAGGTCCATCACATAAGTCATAGGCTGAGTGACAATCTCTACTACTCTAGAGGTCACACCCTTGCCACAAGGAGTTGAGTGAACACTATTTTCCATGCAGTTATATGTTTATTGATCATTTACTTCGATCCCTGCATTCTGGGTAGGGATGGTAGAAGTGTCCTTATGTCATGTGAGTGTGGTCTTTGGGAACCTAGAAAAGGTTCCTCTGCCCTAAATAGGTGTAGATGGGGAAAGGGAGCTGTTCAGACCAACAGGCTTCAAGTAGCTTTAGGAGTGAGCTCTCCCAATACTGTCAGATGTGGGAAGTGTGAGGAGCCCCTGAAGAGACAGTAGGTGCAACAGGAAAAGTGTGAGGCAGGACTGGGTACTAAGTGGTACCAGATGCTGGAAATAGATTCAGGGCAGAAGGTTCCCTTCTCAGTCCTGAGGCTGAGGGCCACATGTTTGGCCTATATGCTCGCATAATCCCATGAAGGCTGCTGAAGCTGAAGTCGGACATATTCAGAACCTAGACAGGGACTGACCCTTTGGGTAGAGGCAGATACTGGAGTGGCAGCAGGGATTGCCACAAAGACAGTTTCAAGGTTCAGGAACATGAGTTAGCACGCCAAGAGGCCTGGGAGCCTGACTGACTGTTCACAGCCCTTTATGCACATGAAAATTGTACAGTTATTCCCCCATTGTTCCATCCAGGCAAGCCTCAGGCAGTCAGAGCATGGGAGCAAAAATACACACAGAGACCCCACACAGCCTCCTGGGAAGAGGCCTCAACTCTTGGGAAGCTCTACTTTTCATTGGGATTTGTGACTTTGGCCATAAAGAGTGGAGTCTGAGTGTTTGTTTCATAGATAATCATCAGGAATGGCCTGTTGAAATGTATCTCCAGAGGGTGAATATTTAGAGCTGTACCCACCAACATGAGTCCTGTGGCGCCAGCTGCCTCTGTGCCTGCCTCAGTCACATCCAGCACAGCCTTGTGGACCACCTGTAAGACAAAGACATCACTCACTGGAGACCAGAAGGGCAGGACAGGAGATTCTGCTGGAGAAGTTGTTTGTTCCTGGCACGAGCTCTCACCCTGGGGTTTCCAAGTCTCTGCTCAGGGTGTGAGATGAGGTGTGCCCTGGGTCTGCTCAGTCTCTGAGAATCTGTGTTGCCCTCAAACCCACTACGCACTGGAGGATGGGTGTAGGCATTCTTACCCCACGGGCAGCTTCTCAGGAGACCCACAGCGAACAGCCAGGGTGCTGGCAGCCAGTGCAGGCTTCAGCATCCCTGCTGCTTTGGCCTCCTTGGGACACACAACAGCAATGCACAGGGCATGGCTTCTCATTCCCACACTGTCATGCCCTGCTGGTACAGATCTTCCCCAAAGCTCTGAGTGGGCCCTGGACAGAACACTAGGCATGGCCAGGCTGTGCATCTGGGGATGCAGTGTGAGGTCCTAAGGCACCGTCCCTTGTATTATTATGTTTTCATCTCATTAACCCTTGCTGTTTCCTTACTGCTACTGTTCTGTGTGCTAATGAGCAACTACTGGGCCATGTGCACAGTGAAGAAGCTGAGGCCAGAAGTGTTTTGACTGCCGTGGATTGAGAGTGGCATCCTCACTACATATAGGTTGGGGCCAGTGATGGTCGAAGATGGAGCACAGGCTCTTCCCTCTCCCAGGCTCCTGGATGAGGTTGTGTTTAGGGGGTAGAGGAAAGATTGGCTGCATGGTATCCAGAAGAGATATATAGGCTGTAATTCAGCTCTCCCAGCATGAGGGAATCTCAGAAAGGCAGGCTTTCTCACACATTTACAATCCCCCACACATCTGGCCTTCACCATCCTTATTTTAGGCACCAGTGACAACCATCCAATGTTTCTTGCCCTACCTTAGAGACTCTCAGGTCCTTGTCCCCTGTGATCCCAGACAGGTCAGCCTGTGCGGAGAAGACTTCCCTGATGCCCAGCTGTGAAAGGATGCCCTCCAGGCTGTAGTCAGTGGAGATGGAGAACTTGGGCAGGTAGAGCTCATCGATCATTCTGAGAATGAAAGGGAAAAGTAATAGTCACTGGACTGTTCCCCTCAAGCCAGAGTGTATCTGAGCACCTGTCCAGAGCACAGACAGTGCTCTCAGCAGAGAGAAGGCCTCTGTCCATCTGCGCCTACATCACATGACTTCCTCTCCCTAATGCATTCATTGCCCACCAGTGCCTGAGAGTTTTTACAGGGGCAGGCAACGAGTTGGTGCCAGCTGTTCCTCTGAGATGCACAAAATGCGGTCGTTCCCATCATGTGCGCCCTCAGACTTCATCTAATGATCCTTCTGTTTAAACTGCACCCTACAGCAGACTCCAGCTTTCCTTTTCCTTGAACCCTCCCTTTCTTAATCTCACCCCTTCTCACCCTCTCACAAATCAAATCCTGATTACTTGCATTTCCAGCTCAATTACAAGATGAGCCCGCAGGAGTAAGAAATTTTGTACCTGAGTCCCTGAAATGCTCTTAGGGTCTATATCAGAGTTTGGCACCCAGTAGGTCTTCAAGTCATCATTGTACTCCTGTTGAGTGTATGTGTGTGAGGGGAAGAATTGGCTATGCAGGGCAGAGGTGATTCTCACACCTAACATCTCAACCTCTCTCCCTCTGCTGTCTAGAACCTATTAAAGATTCCTTGTAATTACAGGCTGTTAGACACAGAGGACTGACTCCTCAGCTCTTACACTAGCTGATGTCATCTTGTGAACAACAGAAACAACAGTAAAATCAGGGCCAAACCTCTGAGTCAACAGAGGGAAATTTACCTATCTCCACTGGTCCCTGCTGACTCTCAGCATTACACTGAGTGCTAGTGAGACACTGGGCCTCAGGCTGACAGCAGGATGGGGAGCTACGAATACTAGGTCCTGTGATCACGCACCTGAATCTCAGGGAGTCCTTCCATATCTTCAGGGTCTCTGGCTGTAAGCTGGCTTCCACCTCCTGCATCTTGCCCTCATCAGGGAGGATGAACAGGGCACTGGCATTGCCTGTGTACTTCATCTCCACCACTGAGCAAGACAGCTTATTATCACGGAAGTAGGGTGTACTCAGGTCCCTATGCCGCATCATGAGTACCTTCACAGTCCTCTTGTTGTCCAAGTGAAATTTAGACTCAACTGTCAAATCAGGGTAAAAGGGTGTCTCCCAATTTCCTAAAGATGAAACAGGTCGTCATACGTTACATCACCTGAGACCCCACCTCTACCCCATTTCTGCCCAGTTCCTCAGTCTTAACAGTAATCAATCCCTCTTCAACAACAGAGTTTCCCTTACTGGTGGCATAATCTTGATTAGAAAAAAAAAACTTAGCAAATATAGAACATGAAAGAAAAATGATCCTGCTGAACAGGAGCCCAGGGGCAGTTGAGAATCCCATCTTCCTCAGGAGGAACTGTGTCTCAAAGGTAATCACTTTCAGGACAGGTTTTAGGCGAAACAGGACAAGAGAGACTATATTCTCCCACACCATGATCTGTAGATGGTGCCCCTCACTGTGAACCACCTAACGGAAGGCAAAGCCCAGAGCAATGACTGGGATTGGACTGCAAGGACAAGATCCTAAAAATGGAGGCTGCCTAGCAGACAGATTCTGTGGGAGCATAGTAGAAATACTGAAGTGGATCGAAAGTGTTATGAGCACTTTCCTGCCAGCCTGGTTCCAGAGTCAGGTCAGTCACAAAATAATACACAGAGACTCTATTAGTTATAAAGCTGTTGGCCAATAGTTAGACCTTCTTATTGGCTAGCTCTGTCTTAAATATTAATCCACAATTACTAATATATGCATTTCTGCATGGTTTTATCTTACTGAGAATGCCAGACTTGTCTCCTCTCCTCCTGAGATCACACTGTGACTCTCTCTTTCCTCCCTCTCCCAGAATCCTGCTTGTCTCCTAGTCCCACCATTCTTGCTTTCCTATTGGCCAACAGTGCTTTATTCTTAACCAATAAGAAGCATATTTACAGAGTTACATCTCCCATCATGAATGAGGGGCTCCTTGTGGTAGTTTGAATGTATTTGGTCCCCATAAGCTCATAGGGAGTGGCACTACTAGGAGGTGTGGCCTTGTTAGAGCAGGTGTGGCTCATGGAGGGTGTGTGTCACTGTGGAGCCAGGCTTTGAGATCTCAACAATGCAGAAGATAGTGGCCTGAGTCTCAGACAACTTCCTGTTGCCTGCAGATGTTGGACTCTCAGATACCTCTCAGGCACCATGTCTTCCTGCATACTGCCATTGTCCCATTTAATAATAATGGATTGAAACTCTGAACTGTAAGTGGGCCACCCCAATTAAATGTTTTCCTTCACTAGAGTTGCTGTGTTCATGGGGTCTCCTCATAGCAATAAAAAAAACTGTCTCTTGGGGGGGGGGAGAAAACATGGCTTCTGCACACTGGAGCATGTACCAGGAACAGCAACTGTATCCAGAAGATCCCAAAGGATAAGTAGGACCTGCTAGTAATAAGAAGTTAGGCACCCATGTCTCCAAGACCATGAGCACCTCCTTTCCAGTGGTCAGCATAAAGACACAGGGTAAGCAGCTAACATCCTCTCCCTCCATGCCCAACCAGGGGCATCCTCACCTTTAAAGAAGATGTAATTCACCAGCACCATTAACGTCTGATCATCCAGGTCTGAGATTAGGTCATTGATCTTCCCCTGGGTGTGTTTGCTCACATAGTCATTGATGAGCTTTTTGGCCTCATGAGGCTGCTGGAAATCAGTTGAGGAGGCTTCAGCCTGGTACACGACCCTTGCTTTCTCCTTGAACTCTGCCAGGATCTGCAGGTTCTTTTCAACAAACATGGCACTGCCTGTGCTGATCTGCACCTGGTCCCCTGGCCGGCTGAGCATGTGGAGGAGGTGGCCGAAGCCCCTGTGGATGTCTGCCTCAGGGGTCTCTGTGAGATTGAACTTGAGACCTTCCAGAATCTCTTCCAGGGTGTTGCTGCTTGCTCCAAGGGACAGGAAGGCCAAGGCAAATGAGATGCTGAATGGGGAGAAGACGATGTTTTTATCTGGATTCTTCAAAACCAGCTCCTTGTAGAGGCTGAAGGCAAAGTCGGTGTTGATGGTGGCCAGGGTTAGACTGTCCACTTGTGTCCCATTGTTTTGGTCTTCCCGGACTGTGGTTTCCTTTCCCAATGTGCCATCTGGTTTGGAGAGGACAGCAGGGCAGAAGCCAGCCACCAAAAGAACAAAAGCTATATGGAGGGCCATCTCCTCTCTTCTTCAGGCTGAAAAGTAAGATCCTTTAAGTCTGGAAAGGTCAGGTGTCCTCTGACCATATTCTAGTCCTGCAACCTGGCCTGCATTGTGTCCTTGCTCTGCTGTCCCTTTCTGCCTTGTGACCATCCATAGGAGATGCTCTGGCTACTCAAATGGCAGCACCAGATCCCATGTACCCAGTTACCCTGGAGGAGAGATGCTGTAGCCGATTTTCCTAATAGAGAATCAGGATAGAGATGAAGGGACATGCCAGGGTCACAGTGTAAGGAAGAGAAGGACATGGGAATGGGCTAAAGCCTTGTGTAATCTTAACTTCTTTACTTTTTTTCTCATTTGGTATAAAGGTGCATTGGAAATCAGGGAACACTCTTAATTGGCACCAGTGCCCCACCTGCCATCACCAGCTTCTAGTCAGGACTCAGTGAAGGATCCTTGAATTAGATCAAATGGCCCACCCCAACCTCCAAATGGCATGTCCATATCTTACAACTGCCCTGGGATGCAACTGGTTCATGTCTCTGGACATGGGGTTGGCTAACTGAAAGAAAGAGCTGCAGATATCTGAGGCAGTCCCAAAGCCATGGCAGCCCCGAGAACAGGCATCAGAAGGCCACTAGGGGGTCGCTCTTCAAACCCTCCAGGGTTTCATATGATGGTTTGTATTCAGGACTGGAAGGCTTCCTGGCAGGAAGGAAAATGAATGGTGTCCCAGTCTGGTGCCCAGACCATATTTCATTTTGACTGTCAGGATTGCTGTGTGTTGGTAGCAAACAAGTAGGTGGAGCTCTCTGTGCAGCCTGGTGAGTGGTCCAGGTTACATTATCAGTGAATGGGCATTGTGGGTGTTTTTAGGGAATTTGCATACACCCATGGAGTGGGGGCCACATGCATCCTAAAAGACCACATTTGGATGCCTGTGATCGTGGCAAATGTGGGTGCCCGGCTTTAGCCTGTGTCCACTCCATAGGTGAGTTCAGAGGAGAATGTAGATGGCAGAGGAAAGGGATGGAGGGGGGATGGGTGCGGGGGGAGAGGACAAGGTGGGGATCAGATGCAAGAGTGAGAAAGCGGAAGGAAGAGGGGACAGGAGGGTATGAGCAGGGAGAGAGGGGGTCAGATGGGGGAGCCAAGGGAAAACGGACATGAGAGAAGACTAGAAGAGTCTAGGAGAATGGAGGGAGCAGGGGAAGGATGTATGGAGCATGCGTGCAGGGGAGCAAGGGATTCTGCATCCTTTAACTGTGTTTATTGTCTAACTAATGTGTCCTATTCTTTGGCCAAACATTCAACATAGTTTCCTTTAAAATTATTTCCAAAGAAAAGAAGCTAGTAGTAGAACACCTATTCTTGACCACCTGAGTAGGGATGTGGGGTTTCAGACCCAGGGCATGTCCTTTCTGCTTAAGCACAGCAGGGATAAAATCTGCCTCATAGGGACTTTGTAACCATTCTGTGTCCTCTTAGCTGTGACAGCAGCATCCTGGTTAATTGCCTCAATATCTCTGTCTTGCAGAGTGTGGGAAGGATCAGGCTCCATCCACTCTCCAGGAACATAGTCATGCTACCAGCATTATTCCATAGACATGAAGACTCAGACCAGAGTCGATTTATATACACTCACAAATGTCCAACCCAGTGTGCCCCAGGAACAACTCCTCAGAACTCCCTATATCAAGACCCCAGGTCATCACCATTACCACAGTCCTGCAAAAGTTCCTCCTCTGTCCCTAGAGAGAAGGAATCCTGAGCATTACCTGCAGAGCTGATTCTGGCTGCCAGAGTCTGTCTTAGGTGAGTCCTGAGTCCTGGTGTTCGGGGTTGCTGCCCTCTTAGGTTGCTGTTCTCCTACTGCACACTGAAGTCTATTTATCCCCACCAGGGACTCCTCCCACCTCTTAGGAAATTCTGGAACATACAAGATGTGCTCAGTGCTCAAAGTGTATGTAGGCAGACAGAATGATTTCTGGTAACATGAATTATGAAACACTGTGTTCCAATCAATAATGCTGGCAGAGCTGGGTTTTGAGGTTATGGCTTCTGTTTCTACGATGGTTCAAAGATCAGCGTGGAACCAGGGAGTAGTCAGAAGCAAAAAGACAAACCCCACATGCTTCTGTGGAATGTTACTGTCTGGCAGCTACAGCAATAGGCATATTCTCAATAGAGCCTTGCTCTCCCCTCTTTGGACATCAGACTCCTGAAGGGAAGCTGCCTTGTCTGGTGCCAAAGGGGGACTTCTGAAAGGAATCTGGGTCTGCAGAGCTTGGCTGGCTGATCTATAGAGATGGGGACATTGCAGGACAGAGGCCAATTTCCTTCTCCTTGGCTAAGTGCTGTTTCCCTGGAACAGCCACATTTGCCTCCTCTGTCAGAACTAAACCTTGTGACAACTGAGTCTATTAACTTATAGACAACTAGCTTCAACCCAATAGCTAAGAATGCCAGCAGATAACATCTTGAGCCTGCAGAGAAGCTCCTACATCTTGATGCACCTGTCTCTCTGAGGTTCCTACCCTTGTTTTGATTTGTGACTTTCTTTCTCTTTTAAATATATAAAGTTTTCATGAAACTGGTCACATATTAGAACATAGAATGTGGGAAACCTAAACCTGTGTTCTTGGACCATAGCCACTCACAATGGCTCTTATAAAGCCTCTGTTATTCCCTTTGGGATGACAGTTGTGGTGTTTGTGTCAACAGTGGGGTTAGACACTCAGCAGGCAGGTGTCAAGTCTAAAGCTGCTGTCCCTGAATGGAGGTGCTGGTCCTAAAATCAGGATTTTGACTGAGTAAACAGAAGCTTAAATGCAGAGCTCTGTGCACCAGAGAATCAGATCACCCATGTGCATTTCTGTCTGCCAAGAGCCACCATTTCCTTCTCACAAATGTCAGCTACCTCAGGCAAGGGCACCCAGCTTCCTTGAATCCAGACAGACTAGATCAGCTCTCAGATGCCTACCCTGCTGTCATAGAAAAATCTGTTTTCTTTTCTGCAATTTTGTCCCTTTTTAGGCTCATTTTAGTCTTCAAATTTCCCTCTGAAACATCACAAGCCAGGCCTCCATCCTCTGCACTGCCCTCAACATTCTGGTCTTCCAGCTCCCAAAGAACATCCCACTGAGATCCCAACACTCAATGTCTTTTCTAGCCCAAAGTTCCAAACTCAGTCCACAATCCTCCCAAATCATAGTAGGCCTGTCACAGCAATACCCCAGTACTGGTACCATCTTGTCTTATTTAGGGGTTTCTATGACTGTGGTGAAACACTATAGTCAAAATCAAGTTGGGGAGATAACCACATATTTGGCTTTTACTGCCATATTACTGTTCATCATTGAATAGACTTAGGGGAGAACCTCAAAAGGGAAAGGACCTGAGATAGAAGTTGATTCAGAGGTCCTGAGGGGCGCTGCTTACTGGCTTGCTTGCCCTGGCTTGCTCAGTTTGCTTTTTTACAGAACCACCAGTCTGAGACTGCAACCAGACAATTTGAGTTGGTTATCCTTTATCAATAACTAATTAAGAAAATTCCTTAGAGCCAGATATTATGGACCTATTCTAAAACAAGCTTTCCTTATTAATTTAACTCTCTCTCTCTCTCTCTCTCTCTGTGTGTGTGTATGTGTGAGCACGCGCTGAACAGACAAGACCAACCAACCACAGCCAGCCCCGCGCCCGTGAACAAAGTGGCCATGGAGACACAGATGAGGGTTTTGCATGGGTTTGACAACATGGAAAACCAGCCAGCAAGGCTGACCCAGCTACATCTGCCACTGAGTGCCAGATCTGCCAGTAGCAGACCAAACCTGAGCCCCAGATAAGGCATAATTTCCCGATATGACTAGCCAATGACCTGGTGGCAAGTTGACTGCTTTGGACCATTTCCTTCCTGAAAAGGAAAAAGGTTTGTCCTTACTGGATGTGGTGGCTGTCCCCCATGACTCAAGTGTTTGCATGCTTGACCTACAGGGAGTGCCACTGTTAGAAGGAGTACCCTTATTGCAGCAGGTGTGGCATGGTTCGAGGAAGTGTGTCTCAGTTTTCTTCTGCTGCCTGCAGATCAAGATACAGAACTCTCCTCTCCTCTCCAGTGTAATGTTTACTGGAATCCTACCTTGCTTTCCTGCCATGCTGATAATGGATTAAGCCTCTGAGCTGTAAGTCAGGACCAGTTAAATGTTCCTTTATAAGAGCTGCTGTGGTCATGATGTTTCTTCACAGCAATAGAATCCCAATCTAAGACACTGGAACAGATACTCTTCTGGTTATGGATTTGCCTTTCCTGCGTGAACTGCTTCTGCCCAAACCATCATTCATAGACTTACAAAACGCCTTATTAGCCATCATGTTATTACATAAACTGGTTCTGATCAAGGATCTCACTTCAGAGCCTAAGAAGTATGATTCCACTGATCTTACCATGTCCCCCACCCCTCTGAAGCTGACCTGACAGAGAGATGAAATGCCCTTTGAGGACACAGTTACAGTGCCAAAGATGTGAAAACAGTCTGGAAGGTTGTGGCAGCATTCTCTAGAAGGTGATGCGTGCATCAAATCATTGTCCAGTATATGGTATGGTTTCTCCCAAAGGCAGGACCCACAGGTCCCAGAGTTAAGAGGTGAAAAGGGAGGAATTCCAATCACTACCATTTAGCGATCTACGTACGTGAAGGTTTTTGATTGCTGTCCACATGACCTAAATTCTGCTGCCATTTATCCACAGTCTAAGAATGGAATAACTGTGTTAGGTGCAGTGATTGGTCCAGTATACCAAGCAGAATTGGACTAGTTCTCCACAGAGGAGGGAAGAAAGTTTATGTCTGGCGTCCATGTGATGCCTTAGGGAGTCTCTGTGTTCCCATGCTCTAGATTAAAGGCACTGGAAGCTATAGCAACTTAATCCATTCAGGATGACAAAGGGGATGAAGGCATGGGTCACTTACCCAGGAGAGAGGAGAGACTAAGTGAGGTGCCTGAGTGTTGGGGAAGTGCAGAATGGGCAGTAGAGGAACACAATTATAAATACCAGCTAAGACTGTGACCAGTTCCAGACGTGAGGATTAAAACTGACATGAGTGCTTCTGTCCCTTTTTGGTTAAGAATGCATTTGTCTAGATATTTGTGTTCCCTTTCCTCGATTTCTTTATCATGCAATGTGACGTCATTTCAGAGAGTGTCAGTGGATATAATAATCAAGTTAGATACACTCAAAGAATGTCTCTCAAGTAACATCACTGCCTCTTATAAAATTAGTAATGCATTTGTGGTCAGATGAAGGATAGTTATATCGTGTCAGGTATGATTTTGATATGTTAAATACATACTGTATTTGCAATTGCACATGGGATAGTTAAAACATGCAAGAGATAGCTAAGAGCTGCTTATTGTTTCCAATGGAAAATTAAGCATGCATTAAGGAGACATGACATGTGTCTAGGTGATACAGGTGGACTTGTGATTGTCATCTTGACTCTATCTGGAATTAAGTAAAACTCAAGCATCAGGCTATACCTGTCAGGAATTGTTTCTTAGATGATAATTTTAAATAGGGAGAGACACATTTACTCTGGATCTTTTGAGGCAGGAAGATCCACCTTTAATCAGGCCACACTTTCTGCTGGCAGCCTATAGAAAGGACATGGAAGAAGGAAGCTTGCTCTCGCTCTCCCTGTTCCTTCACTGGCATCGGAGACTGTCCCCTCAGGATCCCAGCATATGACGAAGACCACGTGAGACATCTAGTCCTGTGGACTGAACAACTACTGCCTTCTTGGACCTTTGAAATCGAAATGTCCCCAAAGGCTCTTGGGGTTGAAACCTTGTCCTCCTGTTAATGACAATGCTTTGGTAGTTCTGTGTCTAATGTTTGACGAAAGCTGTGAGCTAGAGTGATTTAACTGGCTGAGTGCTGACCAAGATTTCTATTTCTTGATAATTTTTAAATTTAAATTTGAAATAAGCTTGTTTTATATGTCAATCTCAGTTCCCTCTCCCTCCCTCTTCCCCTGTCTCCCCCCCCAACCTCCATCCCATCCCCTTTCTGCTCCCCAGGGAGAGTGAGGCCTTCCATGTGGGATCTTCAAAGTCTGTCATGACATTTGGAGCAGGGCCTAGGTCCTCCCCACTTGTTTCTAGGCTGAGAGAGTAACCCTCTGTGTGGAATGGGCTTCCAAAGTCAATACATATACTACAGTATTGCTGCTACCAGAGGCCCCATAGACTAACACCCATATTCAGGGGGTCTGGCCAGTCCTATGCTGGTTTCCCAGCTATCAGACTGGAATCCATGAGCTCCCCCTTGTTCAGGTCAGCTATCTCTGGGTTTCTTCAGCCTGGTCCTGACCCCTTTGCCCATCACTCCTCCCTCTCTGCAACTGAATTCCAGGAGTTCAGCTCAGTGTTTAGCTGTGGGTGTCTGCTTCTGCTTTCCTCATCTACTAGATGAAGGCTCTATGATGGCATATAAGGTAGTCATAAATGTCATTATAGGGGAAGGGCATTTAAGGTAGCCTCTCCACTATTGTTAGTTGGGGCCATTCTTGTAGATCTCTGGACATTTACCTAGTGTGAGATTTCTCTTTAAGCCTATAATGGCTCCCTCTATTATGGTATTTCTTTTCTTGCTCTCCTCTATTCTTTCCCTGACTCAATCTTCCTCCTCCCTCATGCCCACCTCTCCCCTCCTCTTGTACACTTCTTTTGCTCCTAACTCCCTCTCCCATGCTCCCAATTTGCTCAGGAGATCTTGTCCCTTTCCCCTTCTCTATGGGACCATATATGTCTCTCTTAGGGTCCTCCTTGTTTCCTAGCTTTTCTGGCGGTGTGAACTGTAGGCTGATGATCCTTTGCTCTATGTCTACAATCCATATATGAGTGAGTACATACAGTGTTTGTCTTTTTGTGACTGGGTTACCTCATTCAGAATGGTTTGTTCTAGTTCCATTCCATTTGCCTGTGAATTTCAAAATTCCATTGCCCCCCCCCCCCCGCTGAGTAGTACTCCATTGTGTAAATGTAACACATCTTTTCTATACATTCTTCAGTTGAGGGGCATCTAGGTTGCTTCCGGGTTCTGGATATTGCAGATAATGCTGCTATAAAAAATAATGCTGTTATGAACATGTTGAACAGATGCTTGAACATGCACCTTTTGGGTATATGCCTAAGAGTAGAATTGCTAGATCTTGTGGTTTTCCACAACCACCACGTTGATTTCCAAAGTGGCTGTACTAGTTTGCACTCCCACCAGCAGTGGAGGAGTGTTCCCCTTTCTCCATATCCTCTGCAGCATAAAGTGTCTGTGGTATTTTTGATTTTAACCATTCTGACATGAGTAAGACAGTCAAGGTTTCTATTTCTTGATTCTTCAGATGGGACACAGCATCCCCTCTGGAGTCATAGATTGAAACTTGGCCAGCTACCCTGTCCTGCCAAGAACTCAAGAGCCGAAATTGACCCATCTACACCAAAATTGCTTCTGTTGGGTATTGTGACCCAGCAACAAGGAAAACAACTAACATACCCAGGCTGCGCTCACACTCCTGTCTCCCAGTCTCACCCTCTCTAGAGCTGGGAATTCATGTGTGCACAGCATCATCTCCTGCCATTCTGTCCCAGGCCCTTCCCAAACCCTCCCCACCTGACCTCTCCTCCCCTCTCCCCTCACTCCCTCCTCTCCTCTCCTGCTTTCCCCTCCTCCTTCTTCCTCTTCTGATTCTCCTCTTTTTCACCCCTCTTCCTATCTCCTTGATGCCCTCTCAGAAGTCAAGTGTGAGCAACCATTTGAGCAGCCCCAGAGAGATTGCTGATCAAAAGCCATGAGATGCCTGGTGATCAGCCCAGGGGTAGGGAGCTTGCTCAGTTTACATCACCCAAGGGAAAAGAAAGAGAAAATGAAAATGGCCATGGTAGTGAACTTGGATGGGGACCTGGGGCACATTTCAGGTCTTCAGCCCCGAGGAAGAAGCACCCAGCCTGGCTCCTCATGGTGCCTGACCCTGTGGGAGATTCCATGTTTATTGTTCCAAGCTGCGCATTTGGGGACAATTTATTCTCCATCAGCAGGTGAGTGAGAAGAGACCAGTCTCTCTCTTAGTCCTCAGGACCAAGGGAGAGAGCAAGGACAGACAGGTCACAGACAACATGCAGGGTCAGACTGAAAGGACTAAGGTGAGTCCTTCATGCTCTGACTCCATCTCGTGTTTGCTCACACAGTTCTCAGCCATCTCTGTTCCCCGACAACAGTCATGTCACCTTCACACGTAGCTGAGATTTCCATGGACATGTCCTTGGTGCAGAGAATCAACCAGAGTAAGTAAAGGAAACCACAATAAATAAAGAAGCTATAACTCAAAATTGCTTGTCATGTTATGATTGAAATGCTCTGCCAGGAAAGAACATTTCAAATTATTTGACATTTCACCTAAGTAGTATGTAAGTGATGTTCTGTGTGGTTTTGTTTTTTGTACATGCTGTCCCCTGACATTGGGAACATACAGACTATTTGAAGGCATGGACTCACTCTTTGTCTGAACATTAATAAAAGTACTTAAATTTATCAAGAATAAATGTACAGCCTTCCTGGTGTGTGAACGATGGCTTTGTTATCCAACCATTTGAGTTCATCAGAATTCCAGGAACAGATGGCTGAGCAGGAGACACTCCTCCCTTCCCGTGGGTTGTCTCCCTAACCCACAGTACTGAGACCCTAAACTGCACATAAATAAGGCAAGCTGGGATTCCCTCACTAAGCTAGACCCCAAGCTCTCTTCTCTTTCTCCTTGAACATTAACTTTATATGATTGTGTGTTTGTGAATGTGTATGTGTGCATCTCTGTGCATATCCATATGAAGGTCAGAGGCCATCCATATATCATTCGCCACAGCTTGGATTTCATTGAATTTCCTAGGTTGGCTGGCCAGTGAGTCCCAGTGACCCACCTATCTCCAACCCAGCGCTGGGATTACAAGATTGCAATTTCATGTTACCACGTTTGTTTTTGTTTCTGTTTTCTCTTCTGCGTCAGGAAAGAGAACTCTGATCCTCATGCATTGAGACCAGCACTTTACCCATCTTGCCATGTCCCAGCCCTCATTCTCTCGGTAGCATCTTTAGATGCACAAAGCTTGGACTGCCTCCAGGCCAACAGTAAGAAGCCAGCAGATCCTGGCCTGTACTCTCTGAAACTGTAATTCAAACCAAACCTTTGCTTCCCTCGGCGGGCTATCTCGGATGTGCTGTCTCAGGGACAAAAGGATAACTGCCACGCCCCTCTACATCCTGTCTGCTCTGTGGCCCTCAGTAGCAGCATCAGAAAACAGACATGGGCAGCCAGCTGGGCGCAGCATCCTCTCAGCAGGCTCTGGAGTTGGCTGCTATGGTTTTAGGGGGAGATAGCTTGGTGAGGATCTGCAGATCAGGCAGTTCACAGTGGCTGCCCCTTGATGGCCCTCCCACCTTGGTGTAGTTACCCTTAGATACTTCATCCTGGCCTTACTGTGGAGCACAGGTGTTTGAACTCACCACTGTAAACATGCCCCTCTCCCCTCCACATTTGTTACCTCTATTGTACGCCGCGGTGGGTTCATCACAAGGGCAACATTTGGTGGTTCTGTGAGGGAACCCTCATAGAATGGGAGGAGTTAGACCCTGATATCTGTGTCCTAGTCTCCCATAGGAGGCGACTCAGACATCTCCCACAACTTCCAGACACAGCTCACCGGCAGCATGAGATGTTTCCATCACAGGCTCCTTAGATACCTGAGCTAAAGCTGAGAAGGATGGAGAGATGCAGCTGAGGCGTGTCAGGGCTCATGGAGTGCATGAGGTGGCCACCTCAGGGCCTCGAATGACTGTTGGACAACTTTGTAATTGTTAGGACATGACAGATTTTGACACACAGATGCCTTCTCATCCCTTCATAGTCCTCATGCAGTGGTACCCCAATGCTCACTGGGGAAGGAATTCTGTGTGTGACCCCACAGGCTGTAATTCTCAGCAACCACATGTCGGCCTGCTCAACGTGTATTCTTAGAAGCCTCAAGATTCAAGTAAGCTCCATTCTGAATGCGTGACTTTCCACTCTGTGCAGAACTCCAGCAGTGTTTCTGGACTCTGAAATTCTCCATGGCCAACCAATCTCAACCCAAATTCACTGTGGTCCACTCTAGTCCTCTACCCAGGCACTAAATCAGCCAATCCTTGAGCTGAATCAAACATTCTCCTCTCAGATGTGGTCTGACATTCTCTGAAACTGCCATACTAAAATCCCCAGATCTGCCAGAGCAGTTCCCTGTCTTATAAAAACCTAGAGTTAAAAAGGTTCCAAAACAGGAACAATGGTTCACTAATCCAGAGCTCCCTGTTGTTCCCAGGCATTTGACGATCCTCACAGGACCAGACTCTTTGCCATCCAATGGCTGTTTGCATTTTTCCTAATCCCACATGACCACACTCTTATCCTCTGACCGCAGCACAGAGGTCACGTGATCCTTAGACCCATGTGGGTGCACTCTGTGCAGTACCCAGAGCCTTGTTTTATGATCCACCTGCCACCACCACAGTGATACCTTGGGCACAGGACCCTGGCTTGGTGTAGACTGTTTCTCTGGCATCAGGACAGTTGAAGACCATTGTACCAGTCTAACAATGAATCATGGGAAAATGACTAAGCTTTTTGGTGCTCAGGTTCCTTATCCAAAAGGGAATGATGATACCATAAGGTAAGAGGTCCATCACACAAGTCACAGGATGAGAGTGACAATTTCTACTACCCTAGTGTCACTAGAGGCCACACCCCTGCCAACGGGAGCTGAGTGAACACTGTCTGGTTATTTTCAATGCAGTCATATGTTTATTGATCCTTTGCTTCAAGCCTTGCAGTTTGGGCAAGGGAGGAGGAGGAGTCCTCTTGTGTAAGTGTGATCATTGGGGACTACAGAAAGGCTCCTCTACTGTAAGTGGGTATAGAAGGGGAAAGGGGCTGACCTGACCACAGGCTCCATGCAGCTGGAGGAATGAGGGTTCCAACACTGTGCCTGATGTGGGCAGTGTCAGCAGCCCCTAAAGGGACAGTGAGTACAAGAGGAAAAGTGTGAGGCAGGAACTGGGCACCAAGTGGTACCAGGTGGTGGAAACAGACTCAGGGCAGCAGGCTCCTTTCTCAACCCTGGGGCTGAGGATCATGTGTTTGGCCTATAATCATGTGTTTGGCTTGCATAATCCCATGAAGGCGGCTGAAGGAAGACATAACCAGAGCCTAGATAGGGCTGACCTATCTGCCAGGGACCGGGCTTTTGGGTAGGGGCAGATAAAGAAGTGGCAGGAGGCAGGGGCCACAAAGAGATCCCAGGCTCAGGAACAAGATCTAGAGCTGTCAGAGGCCTGGGAGACGGAGACTGACTGTGTACAGGCTCCTGTGCATGTGGGAGTCACAGTCAGTGACTGTCACTGTCCAATCCAGGCACACCACAGCCAATCAGAGCATGGAAGCAAAATTGCAGATAGAGACCCCACACAGGTTTAATCTCTGGCACCTCAACACTTGGGAAGTTCTAGATTTGCTTGGGATTTGTGACTTTGGCCATAAAGAGTGGAGTCTGAGTGCTTGTTTCAGAGACAACCATCAGGAATGGCCTGTTGAAATGCACTTTCAGAGGGTTCAGAATTAGAGCTGATCCTGTGTTTATGAATCCTGTGGCAGCAGCTGCTTCTGTACCTATCTCAGCCACATCCAGCACAGCCTTGTGGACCACCTGTAAGACAAAGACATCACTCACTGGAGACCAGAAGGGCAGGACAGGAGATTCTGCTGGAGAAGTTGTTTGTTCTTAGCACGAGCTCTCACCCTGCGGTTTCCAAGTCTCTGCTCAGGGTGTGAGATGAGGTGTGCCCTGGGTCTGCTCAGTCTCTGAGAATCTGTGTTGCCCTCAAACCCACTACGCACTGGAGGATGGGTGTAGGCATTCTTACCCCACGGGCAGCTTCTCAGGAGACCCACAGCGAACAGCCAGGGTGCTGGCAGCCAGTGCAGGCTTCAGCCTCCCTGCTGCTTTGGCCTCCTTGGGACACACAACAGCAATGCACAGGGCATGGCTTCTCCCCCACCCACTTATGCTCTCTTTCTGGTTCCTTTCCTTCTGCTCTCTCTTTCCCTCTCCATCCTGCTGTTCCCCTGGGGCAGACAGGACATTTCCTGTCTCCCTCTTCTCTTCTGTCCTCTCTGTGTCTTGTGTCTCTTTCCTTTTTCCCCTCTTTCCTCCCCCTTCCCTTTCTAATTACACTTCTGAATTAAGCTCTGTTTGTGGGGCATGTTTGCCTCCTGCCTCATTCATCCTTGCCTGTCGTGGAATTCACCACAGTCGCCAACATGCTTTTTTCCTAACATCTTTACTTACCTTAGAGACTCTCAGGTCCTTGTCCCCTGTGATCCCAGACAGATCAGACTGTGTGGAGAAGACTTCCCTGATGCCCAGCTGTGAAAGGATGCCCTCCAGGCTGTAGTCAGTGGAGATGGAGAACTTGGGCAGGTAGAGCTCATCGATCATTCTGAGAATGAAAGGGAAAAGTAATAGTCACTGGACTGTTCCCCTCAAGCCAGAGTGTATCTGAGCACCTGTCCAGAGCACAGACAGTGCTCTCAGCAGAGAGAAGGCCTCTGTCCATCTGCGCCTACATCACATGACTTCCTCTCCCTAATGCATTCATTGCCCACCAGTGCCTGAGAGTGTTTACAGGGGCAGGCAACGAGTTGGTGCCAGCTGTTCCTCTGAGATGCACAAAATGCGGTCGTTCCCATCATGTGCACCCTCAGACTTCATCTAATGATCCTTCTGTTTAAACTGCACCCTACAGCAGACTCCAGCTTTCCTTTTCCTTGAACCCTCCCTATCTTAATCTCATTTCTCTTCCCAAATCAAATACTGATTAGGTGCATTTCTACTCTCTCTTCCTCAGTTACAAGACAAGCCCACAAGGGTAAGAAATTTTTGTTGTTGTAGTTGTTGTACTTGAGTCTGTGACATTCTCTCGGGTCTAAATCAGAGCTAGGCACACAGTAGGTCTTCGAGTCATCATTGCACTGATGGCGAATGAATGACTGAGAGTGTATGACATGGCTACACAGGGCAGAGCTGATGCTCAGAGCTGACGTCATCTCAACTGCACTCCCCTGTGCCTTCCAAACCCATCCAAGATTCCTTGCAATTACAGCCTCTTAAACACAGAGGACTCCTCAGCTTATGCTCCAGCTCGTGTCATCTTTTGAACAACAAAAATAATAGTAAAATATGCCCCAACCACCAAGTCCACAGAGGAGAAGTCACCCCTAATCCACCTGTCCAGGTTCACTCTACAACCATTATACAGGGTACTAGTAAGACTCTGAGGTACAGGGACATTGGGTCTCAGGCCAACAGCAGGATGATGGACCAGACCAACTCTGGTTCCTGTGGACACGCACCTGGGCCTCAGGGAGTCCTTCCATCTCCGCAGGGTCTCTGGCTGTAAGCTGGCTTCCACCTTCTGCATCCTGCCTTGGTCAGGGAGGATGAAGAGGGCGCTGGCATTGCCTGTGTACTTCAGCTCCACCACGTGGGAGGACAGCTCCTCATCACGGAAGTAGGGTGTGGTCAGGAACTTATGCTTCATCATGGGCACCTTCACAGTCCTCTTGTTGTCCAAGTAGAAGTTAGAGTCAAATGTGGAATCAGGATCAAAGGGTTCCTTCCATCTCCCTAAATGTGGAGCAGTTCCTCAGAGGATAACATCACCTGAGAGACCCCACCTCCATCCCATTTCTGCCCAGCTTCTGAGTCTTGATAGTACTCAATCCCTCTTCAATAACACTGTTTCCCTTACTGTGGCATAATCTTGATTAGAATAAACTTTGGCAGATGTAGAAATATGAATGAGAAATGATTCACAGGTTTCATTTAGAAACAGTGAACTAAAAATCTAAGCTTCCCTAAGTAAGTGAGATTTCTGAAAAACAGCCATGGATCTGTGGGTGGGTGTGTAATGGAGAGATGAGAGTTAACAGTGCTGAACAGGAGCCCGGGGGCAGTTGAGAATCCCATCTTCCTCAGGAGGAACCGTGTCTAGAAGGCAATCACTTGTAGGACAGGTTTGAGGAGACACAGGACAAGAGAGACTATGTTCTCCCACACCATGATCTGTAGATGGTGCCCCCCCCCACTGTGAACCACCTAACGGAGTTGGATTACCAGTTTGGCTAAGACATGGGTAGTGAGTCCTCTTCTCTCACATGGAGTATGCTCACCTCCATGAATCCCAGACATGCTGCTCAGACTTGCCCAACATCCCCAAGTACATGTTACCTGCAATGACCCTGGGGGACTTGGAACTTTGACAATTTCCTGGGCCCAGAATTCAGCAGCTTAAACACACATCCCCACATCATAGACAAGCAGCCTTGGAGCTTGAGCCCTGGGGCAGCAGAGAGAGACAAACAGAGAAAGAGAGAGAGAGGGGGAAGAGGGAGAGGGAGAGGGAGAGAGAGAGAGAGAGGGAGAGGGAGAGAGAGAGGGAGAGAGGGAGAGAGAGAGAGAGAACCATACCCCGCAGTCCAATCCTTCAGTCATCACTCTGTTTCCCCTGCCTTCAGAGCACAGCCTCTCTGGGGCCATCCTGGACTCCTGTCCTCCGTCCTCCTATCCTACTCTGTCCATGGCCAAGTGTGTTCTGTCTATAATCTCAGAGCCTGCCTTCTTCTGTTCTGGACTTTCCAGAGTCCAGAGATGCAAATCCACCCCAGATCTAGTCCCACCAAGATTTTTATCAGGCATCATTTTGTGAGCTGTTGTCTCACACTTGGTATGTCAGGCAGGGTTTTGTGGTATTGGCACTGGATTTCTCCTCACTAACCCTTACCCACAGTACTTCCATCCTAATCTCCCCACTCTCCTGCCCCCAACCTCAGACCCTCTGTCCCAGGAGTGTGCCTTTAACACTGTGATCCTGGAGGCTGCCTGGGCTACTAAATGTACAAACTAAAATTCCACAACATAGGCAGACACTAAACACCAGAACACTGCCTGGCTGACCCATCCCTCTCACGAATGGCTTCTCCCCAGGCCTTGCTTTTTCCATGTCTAGGTCCAGCATTGCAGAAAAGACTCATGGGAGAGTCCGTGCCCGAAAACTGCCCACAGGGCACTTCCTATTCTCAGCCATGATGCTTTTCCCTTAAATTGGGGTAGCCAGGCTCCTTAGGTCAAGAAGCCCCCAGACCACCTGTATCTTCCAAAAGATGGAAGTTCTCTAGCAGACGATTCTGTAGAAACATATTAGAAATAATGTAGTGGGCTGAATGAGGGACTCCTTCTGTGGTAGTTTAAATGTAATTGGTCCCTATAAGTTCATAGGGACGTAATTATTAGGAGGTGTGGCTTTGTTAGAGCAGGTGTGGCTCATGGAGGATGTGTGTTACTGTGGAGCCAGGCTTAGAGGTCTCATGAATGCAGAAGATAGTGGCCTGAGTCTCAGACAACTTCCTGTTGCCTGCAGATGTTGGATTCTCAGATATCTCTCAGGCCCCATGTCTGCCTGCATACTGCCATTGTCCCACTTGAAGATAATGGACTAAACCTCTGAAACAGTAAGAGAGCCACCCAATTAAATGTTTTCCTTTGTAAGTGTTGTCATGGTCATGTGTCTCTTCACAGCAATAGAACCCTGACTAAGACACTGTCTCTGCAGAGAGAATCAGTGACTTCTGCAAACTCAGGTAGGACTGGACATGTGAGCTATGCATTCTGCTTGTCAGTGAGTTTAAGTCACAGTCAAATTCAGCCCTCTTAGACTGAGAGCTAAATGGTACTGTGGAGCATGCACCAGGAACAGCAACTGTATCCAGAAGATCCCAAAGGATAAGTAAGACCTGCTAGTAATAAGAAGTTAGGCACCCATGTCTCCAAGACCATGAGCATCTCCTTTCCAGTGGTCAGCATAAAGACACAGGGTAAGCAGCCAACATCCTCTCCCTCCATGCCCAACCAGTGGCCATCCTCACCTTTAAAGTAGATGTAATTCACCAGCACCATTAACGTCTGATCATCCAGGTCTGAGATCAGGTCCTTGATCTTCCCCTGGGTATGTTTGCTCACATAGTCATTGATGAGCTTTTTGGCCTCATGAGGCTGCTGGAAGTCAGTTGAGGAGGCTTCAGCCTGGTACATGACCCTTGCTTTCTCCTTGAACTCTGCCAGGATCTGCAGGTTCTTTTCAACAAACATGGCGCTGCCTGTGCTGATCTGCACCTGGTCCCCTGGCCGGCTGAGCATGTGGAGAAGGTGGCCAAAGCCCCTGTGGATGTCTGCCTTAGGGGTCTCTGTGAGATTGAACTTGAGACCTTCCAGAATCTCTTCCAGGGTGTTGCTGCTTGCTCCAAGGGACAGGAAGGCCAAGGCAAATGAGATGCTGAATGGGGAGAAGACAATGTTTTTATCTGGATTCTTCAAAACCAGCTCCTTGTAGAGGCTGAAGGCAAAGTCGGTGTTGATGGTGGCCAGGGTTAGACTGTCCACTTGTGTCCCATTGTTTTGGTCTTCCCGGACTGTGGTTTCCTTTCCCAATGTGCCATCTGGTTTGGAGAGGACAGCAGGGCAGAAGCCAGCCACCAAAAGAACAAAAGCTATATGGAGGGCCATCTCCTCTCTTCTTCAGGCTGAAAAGTAAGATCCTTTAAGTCTGGAAAGGCCAGGTGTCCCCTGACCATATTCTAGCCCTGCAACCTGGCCTGCATTGTGTCCTTGCTCTGCTGTCCCTTTCTGCCTTGTGACCATCCATAGGAGATGCTCTGGCTACTCAAATGGCAGTACCAGATCCCATGCACCCAGTTACCCTGGAGGAGAGATGCTGTAGCCGATTTTCCTAATAGAGAATCAGGATAGAGATGAAGGGACATGCCAGGGTCACAGTGTAAGGAAGAGAAGGACATGGGAATGGGCTAAAGCCTTGTGTAATCTTAACTTCTTTTCTTTTTTTCTCATTTGGTATAAAGGTGCATTGGAAATCAGGGAACACTCTTAATTGGTACCAGTGCCCCACCTGCCATCACCAGCTTCTAGTCAGGACTCAGTGAAGGATCCTTGAATTAGATCAAATGGCCCATCCCAACCTCCAGATGGCATGTCCATGTCTTACAACTGCCCTGGGATGCAACTGGTTCATGTCTCTGGACATGGGGTTGGCTAACTGAAAGAAAGAGCTGCAGATATCTGAGGCAGTCCCAAAGCCATGGCAGCCCTGAGAACAGGCATCAGAAGGCCACTAGGGGGTCGCTCTTCAAACCCTCCAGGGTTTCATATGATGGTTTGTATTCAGGACTGGAAGGCTTCCTGGCAGGAAGGAAAATGAATGGTGTCCCAGTCTGGTGCCCAGACCATATTTCATTTTGACTGTCAGGATTGCTGTGTGTTGGTAGCAAACAAGTAGGTGGAGCTCTCTGTGCAGCCTGGTGAGTGGTCCAGGTTACATTATCAGTGAATGGGCATTGTGGGTGTTTTTTAGGGAATTTGCGTACACCCATGGAGTGGGGGCCACATGCATCCTAAAAGACCACATTTGGATGCCTGTGATGGTGGCAATCGTGGGTGCCCGGCTTTAGCCTGTGTCCACTCCATAGGTGAGTTCAGAGGAGAATGTAGATGGCAGAGGAAAGGGATGGAGGGGGGATGGGTGCGGGGGGAGAGGACAAGGTGGGGATCAGATGCAAGAGTGAGAAAGCGGAAGGAAGAGGGGACAGGAGGGTATGAGCAGGGAGAGAGGGGGTCAGATGGGGGAGCCAAGGGAAAACAGACATGAGAGAAGACTAGAAGAGTCTAGGAGAATGGAGGGAGCAGGGGAGGGAGGTGTTGGAGCTGAACCACATGTCTCCAGGGCTGTCACACGCCTGCAGAGGGACCAGTAACTTCAGCTGCCTTCACCCTGTGTTTACTGTCAGACCGATGCATCCCTTTCTTTGGGAAAGCATTCAGTTATATTTTATTTCAAAAGTATTTCAGCAGGAAACAGGCTAGTCTGCTTGTGCAGGAGACCTGGCTCAGTGGCTGAGCGATTGTCTTCTTTTCCTCAAGAGGAGAGGGTAGAGTCCCTTTCCTTAGCCCTAAGATCTGCTGGGGAAGTGGAGTCCCTGACACCAAGGCATTCCCTCTCTGCTGTAAGCACAGCAGGGCTGCCATTTCCGCCAAAGTGACTCTGTAGCAGGCTTTTCTCCTCCCAGCTTAATAGCACTCGACAATGTCTCCATACCAATGTCTCCATACTTCCACCCTGTGGAGGGCTCCGCTCACTCTCCAGGAGCATAGCCCATGGCATCTCCGTCTTCCACAGACTGGAGAGATGATTCATATGCACCCCAGAAATGTCCCCTGACTCATAACCCAGTGCCCCAGGAACAACTCCTCACCACCCCCCAAATCAAGACCCTAGATCATCACCATTACCACAGGCCTGCAAAGTCTTCTCTGTCCCTGGAGAGAAGGGATCCTGAGCATTACCTGCAGACTTGATGACAGCTGCCAGTGTCTGTGACAGCTGAGTCCTGATGTTCGGGGTTGCTGCCTGCCTGGGTTGCTATTTTCCCAGTGCACGCTGATGTCTATTTATCCCCAGCTCAGACTCCTCCCTCTTCTTAGGAAATGCTGGCCAGGTGTGCTTTGTGCTTAGACTGTAAGTGGGCACACAGGATGGATGGTTTCTGGTAACATGAATTTAGAAACTCCAGCTAGCAGAAACACCTGTCGCTGTGTTCCAATCAATAAAGCAGGTGCAGCTGGATGTTGAGGTTATGACTTCTGTTTGTCCCATGGTTCAAAGATCTATGTCCAACCAGGGAATAGTATGAGCAAAAAGATAAACCCCACCTGCATCTGTGTAAACTGTCCTGTCCTCCAGCAAAGGGATATTCACAATAGAGCCTTGCTCTCCCCTCTTCAGCTCTCAGAAACTGCTTTGTGTGGTGCCGAAGGGGAACTCTTGAAAGGAATCTGGGTCTGCAGAGCTTGGCTGACCGGTCTGATCTCAGTACTATATAGAGATGGGGACATTGCAGGACAGAGGCTCATTACCTTCTCCTGGGCTAAGTGCTGTTTCCCTGGAACAGCCACGTTTGCCTCCTCTGTCAGAACTAAACCTTGTGACAACCGAGTCTATTAACTTATAGACAACTAGCTTCAACCCAATAGCTAAGAATGCCAGCAGATAACATCTTGAGCCTGCTGCCATAAATGCCCTTCCCGGATAGTGAGATCAACAACAAACTTATCCATGAAGCCATCACCTAAAAAAAATGCTTTGACTCCAAAATTTAAATTCAAGGACAAGTTACTTGGGAAAAGGATTTCTGTTTTTGTTTCCACAGAAAATGAAAAGCTGTGGATTCCTTCCAGACTAATGTGGTTTGATCAAGCCAGGCTGCCTGAAACAGTACCAGGTGATCCTACATTCAAAACAGCTGGACAAAGCAGCATTACAGACTACAGCCAGGATTTCTGCATCTTCTTAGAATCCCCCATGACAGTGCCCCTTACCAGCAGGAAGTAATTTGGAAAGAAACGAAGCCCAAATTCCCAAATATTGTCTATAAATGTTTGTTTTCATTTAAATGGACTTGGAGATATATATATATATATATATATATATATATATATATCACATCTTGAGCCTGCAGAGAAGCTCCTCCATCTTGATGCCTCTCTGAGGTTCCCACCCTTGTTTTGATTTGTGACCTTGTCTTGATTTGTGACTTTCTTTCTCTTGTAAATCTATAAAGATTTTGTGAAACTGTTTCCATGTTGGAACATGGAATTTCAGTGTCCTAAACCTGTGTTCTTGGACCATAGTCACTCACAATGACTCATATAAAGCATCTGTTATTCCCTTTGGGATGACAGCTGTGGCGTTTGTGTCAACAGTGGGGTTAGACACAGCAGGCAGGTGTCAGCTCCAAAGCCACTGTCCCTAGAATGGAGGTGCTGGTCCTAAAAGAAGGATTTTGGCTGAGTTAACAGAAGCCTAAATGCAGAGCTCTGTGTACCAGAGAATCAGATCACCCATGGTGAATTTCTGTTTGCCAGGAGCCACCCTACCCTTCCCATGAGCACACAGCTCTCCTTCACTCCAGATATGCTGAATCCACTCAAAGATGCCAACACTCATATCATTTGAAATCTGCTTTCTTTTCTGATATTTTGCCCCTTCTCTCTGCCCTCTTTGGTAGAAAAAACTTGACAGTTTGATCCCTAATAAATCTTTTTCTCCAACTGCAGTTGCCTAATTTGATCATTCTTACTGTTTCCTGTCTTATAATTGGTGCTGAAACCAGGGAAAACACTGGGCATCTTCCCAAGGGCTCTGTCCACCCTAACCGAACAGAAGAGCTGATTTTTAACACCCTCAGTGATCCTCACTTGCTTCTGCTGGCTCTCCTCCCCCTACTGTGTTCAACTGCAAGTTTGGGAGTCTGCTTTGCCAATTATCTCTCTACTGTGCTGGCTAAATTTATGTCAACTTGACACAAATTGTAAACGTCTGAGAGGAGGGAATCTCAATTGAGAAAATAGCTCGCTCAATCATGGGCTCTTCCCATCCAATCTTGACTCTGTACTTACAGAATGGCTTATCCATAGTCATGGCGTTTTACACAGTATGGCTTCTGACCTAGGAACTCATTTCACAGGCATCAAAGTACACCAGTGGCTCCACTATCATGGACTTCACTGGTATTATCATGTTCCCTACCTTCTGAAGCAGGTAGCCTTATAGAACCTGTAGGGTTCTTTTCTTAATTAATTAATTTGAAGTGGGAAAATCCATAAATCTGTATGTTTGGGGTGGGAAAACTCACTTTAATCTGGGCCACATCTTCTGCTGGCAGCCTATATAAAGGACATGGAAGAAGGAAGCTCCTTCTCTGTCTGCCTGTTCTCATTCTTGCTGACAAGCCCACTCCTTTACTGGGATTAGAGCTTAATTCTTCAGGACTCTGCCATACACTGGAACCAGCAGAGACATCCAGCCTCACGGACTGAACAACTACAAGATTCTTGGACCTTCATGGGAGATGTCTTTCTGTAAATATGATTCTCTTTCTGGTTAATGACTAAAGCACTGTTCAGCCAATGAGGCAGCAAAATATGTTTAGGAGAGAGGAGTCATAATGTGATCCAGGAAAGAGAGTCAGACATTTGCTGGTAAGATAAAGCCATGTAAAAATACTTACATTAATAGAAATGGCTTAATAACTAAGACAGAACTAGTCAATAAGAAGCCCTAGCAAGCAGCCAACAGTATTATAATTGATGTGAGTTACTGAGTGTTCATTTGGGCTGACACGGTTGTGGGACCAGGCTGGTGGGAAGAACCATCCATAATAAGACCTTCCATTGGTAGACAGCCATTATTGGAATACCTGGACCACAAGCTTGTAAATTATTCTAATAAACCCCTTTGTCTATATATAAATTCATTCTACAACTTTTGTTCCTCTAGAGAATCCCAATAAGTGAAGCCTAATGGTCTATTCACTTAATACAGTTGGTGACAAATGGGTATTTATGGGCACCAAGTAATTGCACAAGATAGTTTAGTTCTGTATGGTGATGCTCCACTCTGCACAATCATGGCGTTTCCATTAATGAGCCATGTAGACTCTTCACTGCAATGGTGGTTTCTCTGTGACAGCATCAGTTGTCACTTGTACCTATCTCATGGATAGACTATGGGCAGCAAACGGAGGATGTTATAGGCTTGAGTTATGAAAAGACAGTGGCATTTCTTCCCTCCTCCATGCTTGGTTTTTGTTCAGTCTGGTTTTTGGAAACAGAATCTTGCTATATAGTGCAATGTTATGGTTTGAATGTGGAATGGTCCCCAGAGGCTCGGGGCTTTGAAATCTTGTCCACCGGTTGGTGGCGCTGCCTTGGGAACTCAGTGACTAATCCTATGAGCTAGAGGGATTTAACTGGATGAGCTCTGACCAAGATCTCTGGTTCCTGATCCTTCAGATGGGACAAACTGTTGATCCACTGCTGCCACCACAGATCAAAACTTGGCCCATGACCATTCCTGTCCCGCCAAGACACCAAGAACCAAAACGAACCCTTCTACCCTCAAGTTGTTTCTGTCAGGCACTGGGAGCCAGGAACAAGGAGAACGGCTAATATACCCAGGCTGCCTGCGCTCGTACTCCTGTCTCCCCATCTCAGCCTCTCAAGTGCTGGGATTACATGTGTGCACAGCCTCAGCTGCGGCCGTTCTTTCCCAGGCCACTCCTGTTCCCCCTGCACCCTCTCCTCTCCTCTCTCTCCCTCCCCTCCTTCTCGTTCCCTCCCCCCCCCTTAGAAGTTCTTGGCGGGCTAGCCCGGTGGTGTTGGTGGGGGCTCAGCTCAGCCCTCTGAGTAGGCCCAGAGAGATGTCCTATGAAAAGCCACGAGAGGGATCCGTGGTAGGGGGCTTGCCCAGCGAGCACAAGACCCTGGGTTGAGATCACTCAGGAAAATAAAATGATTACGAGAGTGCACTTAGGCAGGCAACCTCCAGCACATGTCAGGACTTCAGCCGACGGTGACCCATGAGAGGCCCTGAGGCAGGGCCACCCGGCCTGGCTCCTCGTGGTGCCTGACACTGTGAGATGCCATGTTTATTGTTTCAAGCTACACATTTGGGGACAATTTATTCTCCATCAGCAGATGAGTGAGAAGAGACCAGTCTCCCTCTTAGTCCTCAGGACCAAGGGAGAGAGCAAGGACAGACAGGTCAGAAGGGAGCATGCAGGCTCACACCCCAGCAATGCCACACTGGGTTCCTCCCTCGGCAGTAGCCCCCCTCTCTCCCTTCAGGGCATGTTAGTTACCATGGTTCCTCTGTTCTTCCTGCCTGAAACCCTGTTGCCTCCTCATCAGCAACGTCTGAGGCGGTCTCTGTTGATGACTGCCTTCTTTGCAAGCTCCCAAAGCCACATGCCAGTTGATCCTGAGCCAAGCCAGGTCAGAACCAGACCAGCTACTTGGTGTCCATCCTCTCCACCAACACGGCTTTGTTCCCTGATGACCCATACCTAGCCCAGCTGTGATGAGGCAGTAACCGCGGTGCAAAAGAGCCAACTGTTGAGGTCACCTAACTCCAGCCCTGAGGCTGTCCCCCTGCTCTGTGGGAGCCCCAGGTAGGATCATCTGCTGTGGCTGTGGGATTTGTTGTGAATCAAGCATGTTTCCCAAAGAGGACACCATAGGGCTCTGATTTTAGGGTGAGGGTTGTACCTGCTGCCATTTTTGTGATGGCCATTACAACCCACTTACTGCCTGGCTCTTACAGTTCCCGTGTGCTTCAGAGGCCGCTTGTGTCTAGAGTTCTGCTCTGGGATTTTGATAGAAGGGCTTTCTGTGCATCCTTCCTTAGTGACCCTTCATGCTGGGCGTGTCAAACAGACTCCATCTCCATCCTCCAGCTGCTTCCCTATCCCCATCCCCAAACTATGTGGCCCTGAACCTGTTAGCCTGGGCCACACCATTCTAAAGCACTTCCATTTTAGCTGAACTGTGACTACTCTAGAACTTAAAATCATTTGTTTTCCAGAACTAAATTAATTTATTCTATAGGTTCTGGCCTTCCCTATCCTACCAAACCCCCCAAATAATGGCTTTCCACAAGAGATGTATATTTATCCCCAACATTATTATTTTAACTCATTACTCCTTGGTTACCCCAGCAATGACAAAAAAAGGAACCTTTCCAATCTCCTTGCCACTCCACTTCCTGAGAAAACTGTAAGAAGGGGCTGCTACTCTGCGGCACGAGCCTAACCCCTCCTCAGAGTCTCAGCCCCGCTGTGTAGCCCTGCCTACTAAATACAGTGAGTACCATGTGTACGTCCAAATCTCAAGGGAGAGCTTCAGGGTCTTGCCATCAACATCCTGATTCCTAGGCTGGAGCCAGGAAGACATATTTATATTTTCTATTTCTTTACTTAGATTTGTGTATATGCAGGTGTGCAGTGGGAGAGTATACATGTGCAGTGCCCGTGTGTGCATGTGTAGGTGTCATGGCTGTTCCTGGAGGCTAAGAACGAGTGTGTGTCTTGGGGAGCAGCAGCTGTGTGTGCAGAAGTCCCACATGACAACCCTTCCCCAGTGGGTAAGGCTCCGGTAGAGCCTTAGAGAAAAAAGTGTGAGCGCCCCCTGGAGGGCCAAGTGGAGGTCTTGGTTGATGTGCAGACGGGGGATGAAGGAATAAATCAGGGACATTCAGGGCATAGTGTGAATGGTTGTCCCACTAAAGTGCCAGTTATGAGAGACATTAGAAAAAAATCCAGGTCATGGGTCTAAGACTCCTGTCCCTGAACAGCCAACGGCCACTTCCTTGCCCAATGTTTTCCTTCATGCTCCCCACAAGGGTCTGGTCAGTCTCTGTACGCTCCCTTTCACCACACCTCGTCTGTTTCACGCTCACCTCCAGCTGGTCACTCTGTCTAGAAGTACCCTACCTGCCCCAAATTTGCTGCCTACCAAAGTTCTACTTCTTTAAGGCCAGCTCCATGTATTTTTGTTGTTGTTGTTTGTTTGTTTGCAAAATCTTCTGTTCATCTCTCTGAATTGCTATTCTGCACATCCCAGAATTGCATGGCAACTGAGTCCAATAGCTTCCAGGTAGCTCTAAGACAATGCTAACATGTGATACTCAATAGAGGCCCCACACACTGCTCCCCTGCTACTGGGTCCAAACACACTGTTTGCTTTGTATCTGTTTGTTGAGTACACTTTCGGAAGCACTGGACCTTGGTCTCATACATGACCCTTAGACAGGACTCCTCTCTGACCACCAACAGACTGGGCAAACAGGGAGAGACACAATTTGTTGAGAATTACTGGACATTATGCAAGGGGAAGACATGAGTGGGTGGGATAACCCCGCGATAAGGTTTGACTGTGGGCGGCTGCTCGTTCAGCATAATCACTGACAAGATCTCTGGATCCGGTCACAGCCACATACACTGCTGCAAGCCAGCATGGATGTGCCAGGCACCAGGGTCTGGGCCTTCACTGTCACTGTCACAGTGACAGATCTTGCTAGGTATTGAGGAATGAATGTGATTGCAAATTGAAAGTGCCTGGTGCAGACTGTCACAGAGAGGTCCTTAGTGGTCTAGGATGCAGTCAAAACTTAAAGGTTCATTCCTAGAAACCACAATGCGAGGGAGGTTCACACTTTCTGAAACCCCAACTCCTATGGCCCTGATGCCCTTTTCTGGCCTTTGAAGGTACCTGTACACACACACACACACACACACACACACACACACACACACACACACACACACTCAGACAAATAAAAATGAAATAAACCTTTTTGTTTTTTAAGGTGCTGATCTTGTGTGATAGCTAACCGTGGTTGTCCACCTGACTGCATCTTGAATCAACTAAAACCCAAGCAGCTGGTCATACCTGTGATGACTCGGTGAGATTGTCTGAAGCAAGAAGACCCACCCTACATCTAAACCACACTCTCTAGTGGCAGCCCAGATAAAAAGGACATGGAAGAAGGAAACTTTGCTTTCTGCCTGCTCATTGGCAAGTGCGTCTGTCCTGCCGATAGCTATGACATCCCTTTCCCCATGTCAGAACTGGCTTCTTGAGAATTCCAATGTAGATCCATGACCAGCTGCTCTCCTGGACTCTTCCAGGCCTCCAATGCTAGATTGGAACTGCTGAGACAGCCAGCCAACCTTGTCATGGACTGCCAGACCATCGATGAACTACCAGAATTGCATCCTGTAAACCTCTAATAAATCATACACACACACACTCACTCACACACTCACAGGCACACACACATACACATATTTACACACACACAGTCCCCCCCAAACATACATTTTCACTATCAGGTCTGTTCCTTTGGGGGAATCCTGACTAACACACGCTTGTTATTTCCAGTGGATACCCTTCTTCAATATGATCCAGGAATCAGAGCACTGAGCACAGCCTCATGGGAGCCATGACAGTAATATGCACATCGGGGAGGGCAAAGTTCTCTGCTCTGGAGTAGCTAACCAGGGGGCAGTTTAAGGTTCGGTGGAGGAATGGTTCACCCATTCACTCTGCTCTTTGATGTGCCAAATCCCCTTTGACGGAGGACAGGAGGGAACTCACCTGAGTCAATCCAGGGTCCTGAGATTCAGACACACCTATACTCTGCCTTCTTTCTACCACCTTAGCAGAAGCCAAGATTGAAGGTAGCTGTGGGGTCATATTCCCCGTCACTCCTACATGTGTCTGAACACTTGATCCCCAGCTGGTGACGCTGTTTTGGGAGTTGTGGGAAACTTTGGGAGCTAGGACGTAGATGAAATAAGTGTGTAGCCGAGGGATGGGCCTTGGGGTTCATGCCCAGACTTCCTTTCTGTCCCACATCTGCTTCCTGATATACTCAGAGCAGCCTTACACTTCTGCTGTCACAGCTAGAACCTCCCCTGCCACAATACTCACCATGATGAACTATCCCCTCAAACCATGAGCCAAAAGAAACTCTTAAGTTGCTTCTTGTCAGGTGTTTGTTGCTGCAGTGATAAAATAACCAACGTACTAGTAATCTTGACTCTTACCTGTGCAAGCTATGTGATTGGATAAGCCACCTCAACCTCAGCAAGCCTTCCTTTTTCTGTCAAAGGGGAACGGTGGTGGCATCTTTCCTCTTGAGGTAGTGTGATGGGAGAAGCGTCTAGCACCAACTCTGGAACATAGTGAGTGTCACTATCCCCAGGGCTGTCTCCATAAGGCCAAAGAGATCCAGTTTCTGCAAAATGCTTTATTGCTATTGCCAAGGTGAAAATCAGAAGGTCAATCTACAATCCATGTTCTACTGTTTGCAACGGGGCCTCTATCATTCCACCCCAGTCAGGTTTGCGAGTTGATACCTTTGCCTGTGGTGAGACACTTCTACCCTGATGCTCAAGTATACTATTAAAGCGAGTTCTTATACCAACAATGACTGGCATGGAGCAGCCAACCCTGTGTAATGATTTCACACACCAGTGGATGGACGTCTTGTTCTGATCCTTCATTGGATACAAAGAGGAAGAAAGATCTAGAGAGGAACATTGCCATCCCCATGTTATGTAGGTATTAGCACCATTCCAGAACCTTAGTCCAGTGTCCTTCATAAACCACGATGGACTGATGATTGCTGCTGATGACAAGTAGGAGATCAGGCTTAAAGATGTGCTTCCTGGTGACCTTTTCCTATAGTGACCAGTATCTTACAAGATTTTGTAGTGCTAGACTGGGCACAAATGGCCTGGGGTCTGAGCATGACTACGGCACAAATGTGTGGTGGGAGCTTGGAGAAATCAACTGGCCTCTTCAGGCTCAGTGCCAATCACTGATGAAAGATGAGGGCAAGAACACATACCTTGCAACTGGGATCAAGGAAGCAGCCATTAGTATATTAATATCATTTAGAACACCTTTTTAGTTAATCTACTCTATACAAATCACCAGCTAACAACATTCAAATGGGCTGTAGTACACTTGTGGCTTCCTCTGGGTAAGCCTGTGGGTATCAGAAAGAGCCCCGCCCCCTCAGGGATGGGTCACTCTGCCAAGGAACAAGAGATTCATCTTCTCCACGATGGCAAACAGAAAGGGTCTGTTGAATTCTATCTTCACAGTCCTGGGTCGAGCAGATCTGAATGTGAAGACCTCTCCTGTGGCAGCAGCTGCTGTGGTCCCTGACTCGTCTACCTCCACCACTGATGCATGCACCATCTGCAGGCAGACAGTGGGGCTGGGTTGTGGTAATGCATCATGATATAAACGTTACTTATATTTCAAATGAACTGGAACTTTTGTTGGACCTCACAGCCAGAGTTAATAACATATGCAGAGGTCACTTAAGGCTGCTGTCTTACTGTGGACTCATTCTGTTTCATTTGTTTGCTTGTTTGTTTTTTACCTGTTTTTAAGACAACAATGCAGTAATCAGCCTTACTTGCCTTGGAGTCCCTGTGCAATCTTGAGTTTTGTACTCTTTCACGGCCCTGATCAAGAACAATGTATGTGTGTCATTTGCTGAAAACATCAGACACAGAAGTTGAAAGTAATCTTCTAAAAGTGGATTCACTTGTGGATATCAGATTATAAACAATGATGTTTGTGGTACTGTTTGATGTCTGGAGCAGCTGGAGTCAGTCACTTAATCCCTGGAAAAACTCTGTTAAAGATTTCTGTAGAGTATACCATTCTTTCTTTTCCATGTGACACTTTCTGTGCTGATCAATAAAGACAGAGCCAGACTCTTTGTCAGGTACACACACACACACATGCACACATGGAGAGAGAGAGAGAGAGAGAGAGAGAGAGAGAGAGAGAGAGAGAGAGAGAGAGAGAGAGAGAATGGCAAGACAGCACTCAGACAGGCACAAATTTCTCCAAGGCTAGGTGGCAAATATGGGTTCCCATTGTAAAAAGAACAAGACACAAAGGAAAGTCTTTGGCTCTCTAGGGGAAAGGAATCATAATGGGATAGAAAAGAAGTAACAGGATCAGAAGAGATAGAATGGGATTGACCAAGATAGGACTTAATTAGATGGAATGGGATAGGGTGTGATGTGATGGGGTGGGGTTAGAGGATGGGGAGTGTGATAGGGTGGGGTGGGATGGAGTGAGGTGATATTGGATGAGATGGGGTGGGACTGGATGGAATGAGATGGGATGGGATAGGGTGGTTTTGGATAGGATGGGATGGGGTGGGATTGAACGGAATGAGTAGGATGGAACAAGATGAAATTGGATGTAATGAAATGCAGTAGACTAGGCTGATATTTGATAGTTGGTATGGGATAGGATAGAATATGAGTTGGGGTAGGGTGGCATTGGATAGGGCAGAATAGTATGTACCAAGTTGTAGTGGAAGGTAATAGACTTGAGATGGGATGAGATGGGGTGGGTGGGGTGGGATGGGATGGAATGGGGTGGCATAGCATGGTAATTTCTGAAAGCAGGTGCTCAGGAGCATCTAGACTCACCTCAGACAACTTGATATTGGCGTGGTTAGTGATGCCAGACAGGTCAGCATGGGAGGTGAAGGCGTCCCTGATGCCCAGCTTGGGGAGGATTTTCTCCAGTCGGTAGGTGCCCTCAATGGAGAACTTGGGGAGGTAAAGGTTCAACAGGCTGGAGAGAGTAAAAGTCATTCTTAGATAACATGAGATGCTGAGATATCCTTAACACCTCTCTCTGTGGCTTCACAGACTTTATGGGACCTTCATTTCTGCTAGAGTGTCCCTGCTTTGTGCTTAGACTTGGGCTGCCCCCTCTGGTGTCAGTGCAGAATCCCACTTTTTCAGGTTTTATGTCTCAAGTGGACCAGGTCCTGGTCCACTTGACTTCCCCTGATGAGGACATCAGGGGAAGTCTTTAGGCTTGGAGACAGTTCACTGTCTGAGGAGTCTTTCCCACCATCAATGTGTGGTCCTGGATAATGTGTAACCCTGGGCATAGGTAGAGGGATGTGTCCCCAGAATGACTGAGAAAATACCTCTTTGTGTCTGTGTTCAGCCAGTTCCTCAGTACTCTCCCGTCCAGGCCATTCTCCACCTGCTGCGTCCTGCCTTCACTGGGGAGAATGAACAGAGCAGTGGCATTGTCTTGGTAAGGGACCTTCACCACTATGCAGGAAATGCTTTGGTCTATGGCGTAGTAGTACTCATCTTCACGGTTCATCATGGGCACCTGTATGGCCTTCTTGGGGGTCACGTAGAAAGTTTTCTGTTGGGTATTTTTGTCACTGAAGGCCGTCTCCCACTTGGCTAAAGGGAACAGGGGGTGGGGGGTGAAAGCACTAGGTAAGAATGAGAGACCTTTGGCTGTGCCTGAAGTGTGGAGACAGTCTAAAAATGTCTCTACAGAGCCACCTCAGCGGCAGGAGCAGCCGCACCTCTTGGCCTTGAAGGTCAAATCCACCGACAGCTCTGGGGGCAGCCTGGACCTTTTGCATGCCCGTTCTCCTGCATTCCCAAACTCTTGACATGCGGGTTGAAAGAGATTGGCCCCCACAGGCTTGGTCTCCTGTTTGGGGAAGGATTAGGAGGTGTAGCCTTATTGAGGGAAGTATGGCATTGAGGGTGGGCTTTGAAGTTTTAAAAGACCACACCAGGCACAGGCTTTCTCTCTTTCTGCTGAGTGCTTGTGGATGACATGTAAAGCTCCCAGCTTCTGCTGCAACATCATGCCTGCCTGCCTGTTACTGTGCTCCCTGTCATAATGATCATAGACATATCCCCCGAAACTAAGCAAGCCCCAATTAATTGCTTTCTTTATTTTTATTTAAATTAGAAACAATCTTATTTTATATATCAATCTCATTCCCTCTTCCTCCCATTCTTCCATGCCTCCTACCGATCCCCATCCCATCCCTCTCCTGCTCCATAGAAAGGGTGATGGCTTCTATGGGGGTCATCAAAGTCTGTCACATCATTTGGGGCAGGTCCTAGGCCCTCCCCTCTCTGTGTTGGCTGAGCGAGTATCCCTCTATGGGGAATGGGCTCCCAATGTCCGTTTGTACACTAGGTATAAATGCTGTTCCATTACCAGATGTCCCATAGACCGTCCAGGCCTCCTAAGTGTCTCCCACATGCAAGGGGCCTGGTTCTGTCCTATGCTGGTTTCCCAGCTGTCAGTCTGGGGTCCATAAGCTCCCCCTTGTTCAGGCCAGCTGTCTCTGTGGTTTTCCCCAGCCTGGTCCTAACCCCTTGGCTCATCACTCCTCCCTCTGTACAACTGGATCCCAGGAGTTCTGCTCAATGCTTAGCTGTTTTCATCAGCTTAAGCGCTTTCTTTTATAAGCTGCCTTGGTCATGGTGTCTCACCAGGGCAATAGAAAAGTAACTAAGGCACTTGCCTTCAGAAGCCCTTGATGCCTGTCCCCTGCCCTTTTAACCCCGACAGGTCCATATTCCTGGGTCTAGTGGGTTTGGTGTCACTGCTGTTTGCCATGATGGCTACAGCAAGGGCCAGCTGCTGCCTGGTGAATCAGTCTTGTAAGGAGGCTCTGCCTTACATGTGGCTGCTTTCCTTCCATCCAACTGGCACCCGGACAGGTCGTTCTTTTGTGAGGGAGGAATGCTATCTTTCAATAATAATAATAATTTAAAAAAAAGAGGAAGTTCAAGTTTGAGCCTAAGGCTTACCTCTGAAAAAGATGTAATTTATCAACACCATGATGTGGGTACTGTCCAAATCCTTGATCAGGTCCACAATCTTGCCCTTGGTCTGCTTGGCCACATAGTCATTGATCTGCTTCTTAGCCATTTCAGGGTTCCCAAAGTTGGTAGAGAAAGTGTCCGCCATGTACAGCATCTTCATGGCACTCAGGAAGCTGTCCCGAATATGTACGTTTGGGTCTGCAAAAAGGGCGCTGCCCAGGCCCAACTGGAGGCCGTCTCTAAGCTGGCTGAACCTCTGCAGCAGCTGTTGGAAGCCCTTGTGGAGCTTTTCCTCTTGGCTTTGCTGGAGGCTGAGTCCCAGGCCCTCCAGGATCTGTGTCTTCGTGTGGGAGCCAGTCCCCAGAGAGAGCATGCCCAAGCTCAAGGACACGCTCATAGGAGAGAAGATGACATTCTGACCAGGGGCTTCAGAAGCCAAGGCCCTGTAGAGGCTGAAGGCAAAGTCCTCGCTTCTGGGAGCTACCTCAGCACCCACAGAGGACTCCTTCACTTTCTTCTCCCAGGAGCGGGAGCGGGAACGGGAGCGGTGGCGTGAGGCCACCCCGAGGCTGAGGAGCAGCAAGCACAGAACTGGGAAGGGTCTCATCGTGGCAGCAGTTCTGAATGGGAGGATAGGAAAGTGTTCTCAGAGAGGGAAAAGCAGGGAGGTGGGAAGCAAAGTGAGAGACAGTGAGTGGGCCGACATTCTCAAAGGAAGTCCCCACTTATCCTCCAAGAGATGAGGAAGAGGCCAAGGCCACGGGGCTGCAAAGAGGAGTGTTGGCACTCAGTGCTGTTGAAAGGTCGGGTGAAGCTCAACACGGGCTTGCAGACCAACGTGCAATGAAATTGCAAAAAAGCCACCAAGTTTTTTCTCATAATGTTTTAAGGAAGTTTAGGATTTTGAATTAGCCTCATTGGTAGGAGTCCTTGGCATGCCTAGGGCCTGCGTCCCACCCACCCACGTCCTCCAGCCCACCAGGTCCCATAACAGCAGGTGTACTCACTCTGTAACGTATTTGAGTGTCACAGTGGCAGGCCACCTGGCTAAGGAGAGGACAGAGGGCAGACTAAACTGCAGCCTGAAATTGTCACTGACCACAGAGGCTCTGTCCCCACCCCATCCCAACTCCACCCTGTTGAGAGCTGGGCTGATCTAAGACTTTCTCAGAGGTTCTGATAAAAGGACAAAAGGGACATGATTCTGTTACTTTGTTCAGACTTGGCAATAGCGGTCTGGGGCTGAGGCCTGGGCCTCAAAAGAGTTGACATTCCTGTTCTGGGGACTTGGCTTTTTCTCCTGAAGACACTGGAGTTTGAAGGCTGCTGTGTGCTTAGTCTATAACGTTCTCAAGATACCCTGTTCCCTTGTGCAACATTGTTTGATAGCTCCCACTGTTAGTTTCTGCTGGCTCTGTCTTATTTCTTCCCTGGAAATAGTCTGTAAAATACTGTACTTTATAAGAAGCTTGCTTGACGTAGGGCATAAACAGAAAGACCTCTTGACTCCAAACTTTATCTTCTCTATCTTCTATCCTCTTTATCTTCCGATCTCCTGGTCTCCTCTCTCAGGACCTTGTCACCAAAGAATGACCTGCCAGTCCAGGTCAGGTAGTAACTGAACAGGGACACCTGAATATAAGAAAAAGAGTAAGTATGGTCATACTACGTAGATAAATTATTTAAAAATTCAGGCCAGAGAGATCACCTGATGGAAGAAGTGGAAACATGAGGAGTAAAACATAGGGTAGCAAAATTCTTAAGACCCTTGTGGTGGTTTGAAAGAAAATGGTCCTCAAAGGGAGTGGCACTGTTAAGAGGTGTGGCCTTGTTGGAGTAGGTGTGGCCTTGTTGGAGTGGGTGTGGTCTTTCTAGAGTAGGTGTGGTCTTGTTGGAGGAGGTGTGTCTCTGTGGGGGTGAGCTTTGTGGTCTCCTATGCTCAAGCTATGTCCAGTGTCTCAGTTCACTTCCTGTTGCCTGTGGACTAAGACTAGGACTCTCAGCTCCTTCTCCAGCACCATGTCTGTCTGCACACTGCCATGTCCTGTTGCTATGATAATGGGCTGAACCTCTGAAACTGTAAGCCACACAATTAAGTGTTTTCCTTTATATGATTTGCCTCGGTCATGGTGTTTCTTTACAACAATTGAAACCCTAACTAAGACCGGAACATTTTTCCTTTTAAATGATTTGTTTGCTTTTGCATTCTAGTTCCTATAATTTGCTAAAGTGCTTATTAAAAATCCTTTAGTTTCATTAAAAACAAAACAAACAAACAAAAAACCCAAAAAAACCTGCCCTTGGGTCCCCTAATGATATTTTGTAAGTTTAAAGACATGGAAATATGTAGGCAAACGTTTAAAAACAAATACTGTACACAAGAGCCATGTGAGTGTCATATTGATGGATACATGCTGTAAGGTTTTATTAAAACTCCATGGGTATGTGCCCATGAAATACATTCTGGTTCCACTGTCTGAGGTCCCTTAGGCTGCTCAGGCCTTCTAGCTGAGACCCATATTCAGGGGGTCTGAGTAAGTCCCATGCTGGATTCCCAGCTATCAGTCTGGGGGGCCTGTTAGCTCCTCCTTGTTCAGGTCAGCTGTCTCTGTGTGTTTCTGCAACCTGGTCTTGTCCTCTCTCTCTCTGCATCTGGATTCTAGTTCGACTCAGTGTTTAGTTATGGGTGTTTGCTTCTGTTTCCGACAGGTACTAGATGAGGGCTCCATGATGGTGGATAAGTTAGTTGTTGATCTCACTATCAGGGAAGGGCATTTATGGTAGCCTTTCCATGGTTGCTCAAATTGTTAGTTGGAGTCAGTCTTGTAGGTCTCTAGACCTTTCTTTAGGTTCAGTTTTCTCTTCAAACCAATAATGGCTCCCTCTTTTATGTTCTCTCTCTCTCTCTCTCTCTCTCTCTCTCTCTCTCTCTCTCTCTCTGTCTTCTGTCTTCTATTCCTACCCTGACTCAATCGTCCTGGTCGCACATGTTTTCCTTTCCTCCCCTTGTTTTCTCCTACTTCTCTCTCCATTCACTGCCCCCCCCACTTCCCATGTGCTCTGGGGGACTTGTCCCTTCCCGGTTCCTTATATGAATCTCTTAGAATACACCTTGTATCCTAGTTCCTCTGGTGGTGTGAATTATAGGCTGGTGATCCTTTACTCTAGGTCTAAAATCCATATATGAGTGAGTACATACCATGTTCCTCTTTTTGTGACTGGGTTACCTCATTCAGGATGGTTTCTTCAAGTTCTGTCCACTTGCCTGCAAATTTCAAGATTCCATTATTTTTTCCTGCAGAGTAGTATTCCATTGTGTAGATGTACCACATCTTCTTTATCCATTCTTCAGTTGAGAGGCATCTAGGTTGCTTCCAGGTTCTTGCTATTACAAATAATGCTGCTATGAACATAGCTGAGCACATGTCTTTAAAACAAAAGTTTTATAAGGACAAAAATTTGTTTTACATGCTATTACAAAATTAAAATGTGGGCCATTCAGCCCCTTATGGGCCTGAATCAGAGGAGGGGCTCAAATCAAACAGGTACCATCATACCAAGTCGGGTATGGCAAGTGCTGCGTGAGGTCTTCAGACCCAGTCATGGGAGAGAGGAAAGGCAACGATCCGTGCCATTCCTCATAACTGGAGCAGGCAGAACACAAACAAGAGACTTGGGGCGGGATGACCGGGCACCATTTTGGTGACAGAATACAGAGTGGGGGAGGAAGAATGGTTTTGGGTCTGGAGAGGAAGTAGATCTGGAGAGGCGAGGGTGGTGAACGGCTACCTGGCCATCTGAATTCAGAGTGATGTCCAGGCCTGGTCTATGACCAAGGGCCAGGTCTCGGTCAGGAGCCCTGGAGCAGCAGAGGGGGGCTGTGTTGGTGTTTGTGGCTCCTGTTGCCACTGGGTGCCTTGCAGGGGACTGTGGTCTGGCTTACCACCTGGGGCCAGGTTGATATCTGCGGGCCACATTGTCATGCAGTGGTCATGGTCACATCCCGGCTGCTGCCCATGGCCGTGTAGGGTCTGTGGCCTGCTGCAATCAGAGTCTATGTTTATGTACCTGGCCCATGTTGTGGCTGGGAGTCATGTGGGTGTCCTGGACTCTGGGCCACCACCTGGGGCCATGTTGGTGTCTGAGACATCTGCCGGTTTAGGAAGAGTAAGTCTCTTAGACATTCAGGCACAAGTTTGTAAAATAAGCTGTTGATAGCTGGTTGATCCAAGGCTTTCTCAGTGTAAAGTCCATAAGAAACTCAGGGAAATGGCTAACTGTGTAACTGGCAGTGCCTTTACCACTTCAAAGCGCTGGCTGGCTTCCCTCTCTCTTCTCTCTCTCTCTCTTTTGCTTCCCCAATCCCTCCCTCATGGCTTGGTCTCGCCCATTATGTTTAGTCTAGCACTTTTTCTCCCTGCTCTGGAATCTTCCTGGTGTCTCTGGCTGTACCCTCCCTCACATCTACAATAAAAACCTCCTCCTCCACCTGAGAGGGGCTATGTCTTCAATTCATTGCCTGACGCTAGAAATCCAGGAGGGTTACATATGGGCTTCCTTCCGAGTTCAGCCTCTCCTGACCGAGCCAACAGCTGACTCGGCTCTCCTAAGGAATGTATGGACCCGCTGTTTCTGCTGGCTTCTTCACCCAACGCACTTGACTTCAGATTCTAGAGTCTGCCTTTCAGCTGCTTGTTTCTGCCACCTGCTCTAACCATCCGCCTTTCCTACCCTACTCAGTCATCGCTCTCTCTGGCTTCCGGAGCCTGCCACACCTCCTGGGCACTCACCACACATCTCTCTGGCTTTTGAAGTCATGGGTATCTCCATCTATTGGGTCCCTCCCTTCCCTCAAAGCCTCACTCAGCCCACTGCTTCAGCCATTTCCCCCTCCACCTGCTCTAACCACCTGTCTCTCTTCCCCTACTGGGCAAGTGTCATCCTGGAGCTTCCTGCTACGTCTCTGTTGGATTACTACAGCAGCCACATCGGTGTACTGGGTCCTATCACATGGAAAGGGACACCTCTCCCCTGGAATTTGGGATATTTCTCTGACAAGTCTCTCAGTTGACTTGGGGACAACTGGGTTTCCTTACACCCTCCTCGGCCTATAGACCCTTTCTCTCCTCCTCCTCTGACTCAGTGATCAAAGCCTCATTGCATTCCTGCAAACAGCTTGGCCTCAGTACAGATCAATGGTCAAAGAATGGTACACTCAATTTCAGGGTTCTCTCATATGGTGACAACTTCTGCCACTACATAAACAAATGACCCCAAATCTCTTCTATCTAAGCGTTCTTTTCTCTACCTCCCAAAAGTCTCTTATCTCAAAGCCTTTTCTACTTTCCCCTCTTGAAAATGATTTCTTTGCAGTCTGCACTAAAAAAGAAATTCTCTTAAAAGTATTACGCAAACTCTATCTCAGGATTTTTAAGCTTATTGGATATGATTAAAACTCTGCAACAAAAGGTTGGTAGTTTAAAAATCTGTACATAGGTTGTCTTGATTTGTTACCACATAGTATGTGATCCAACTCTTGTTTAGGAAAATAGATGTGTTTAAATAGCAGCCGAGTGGCGCACCTCCATCTTGGCTGATGACATCATCAGG